CGACTTTAGTTTCAAGAGTACAGTACATATCAAAAAGAAAATCTTTTTCTCTAAAGTTGTCTTTAATGTTAACGTTATTGAAGCTATCTTGGAATTAGACTGTTCAAGAACACTAGCATAATTGTTGTCATATTATTTGACGATACTTTATTGATTATTACTTTTGTGTTGCATTGATGCATCTAAGCCCTTGTTTGACAATCATTATTTGAAACTCTTCTTTCTTCATATTTATTTTTAACTGCACATTTATACAATAAAATATTCTACACGTAAGCCCAAATTATTCTCTACTTTTTAACCACACATACCCTTAAAAATAAATATTCAAAACATTATTTTTCCCAAATAATAGTTGTCTAATAGGGGCTAAATTTGATCCATTGCTCTAACTACAGAACCAATATGTTGCTACTTTTTAGACCATGCAGAAGAAACCACTTGCAATGAAAGGGCAGAATGCATAAGATGATTATTAAGGTTGAACTTCAATTTTGAGGGACTCCATCGCCCCACTCCTAGAACTTTGTGAGGGAGGTAAATCGCGAGATATGCCCCCAACAGGCTAGGGAACAAGAACTGCCTGTACACTGCGCCTACAAGGAGTCCAATTTCATTTCTCATTAATCGAACCCCCACACTGCGGTTGTCAGCAAAGCGTGAGATAATTTCACTCCTATCCTTTACATCACTGAGCTATGCCCCGGAGGGCTGAATAAGATGATTATTTCACCTCAAGTTATACCAACAGAGAATCAAAGAGAGGGTAGCAGGAGGTGCAACAAAATGAAACTTATTAGTGCACCACCAAAAGAGGCTTTTGGAAGTATTATTATGAGTTTGGTGCTTAATTATGTATGTTTTTAGCGATGGGAATGGGACGGGTAGGGGGAGCGCCCCTACTCCGCCCCATTTGGCCAAAATCCCACCCCACCCCACCCAATCCCGCTCCCCACCCGGCCGTAGACGGGGCGGGGCCAGGACGGGCCAACTTTTTGCCCCGTTTAGTTTTATTTTTATTTTTTTACATTTTGAAAGTTTCGAATTATATTATTATTAGATAATGAAATACAAATTCAAAATAGAATTATAACCGGTGAATTGTCTAGAAATAAAATTATTTTTAAATTTTTTTCTTCATGGGGCGGGGCATCCTCGCCTCGCCCTGCCTCTCGCCCCGCCAACCTGTTCGGGGCGGGGCGGGACAAGGTAAATTGACATCCCTATGTGCTTTTGGAATATGTTAGGAGAGAACTTGGTATTGGAAAGATTGTTGATCAAGAAGGATGAAACTTGGATAAAATCTGGGATTCTTGGATCGAAGTCTACAATTTGCAAGTTGAAGGACTTATAGTGAAATAAACAAAGACTTGGGATGCACAATGAAATAGGTCAAGGACTAAAATGCACTGGCTGAAAGAGTGGAGGTCTTTTATGAAATTTCTACAGATATCTGGCTAAGAATTGGAGTTGAATTTAACTAAAAAAAAAAAGGTTGAACCCCAACCTTAAGGGTCCCCCACCGCCTCTGCCCTGGAACATCGTGAGGGAGGTAAATCGTAGGTTATGCCTCCAAGGGTATAGGGTGGAAGGCTGCTTGTACACTTGCACTTACCCAAGAGCCAAATCCATATTTCAGGATTCGAACCCTTGACGCAGCAGTCTCAAGCAAAGCTGGATTTCTCCACCCTCCCCTTTTACCACTTGGAGATGTGCCCTGGGGGGCGGAGTTGAATTTAACTCGTTTATGTGATAGGAGGTTAAACGGATTCCAAGTGGAAAGAGAAGACAAGACTGGCGAAGGGAAAAAAGAAACGTAAGAACCATTTTTGGGATTCGTATAACGAAGGACAACATATCAGAATATTTTTCATCTTGCTCGTCGTAATTGAACTCGAAGATAATAAGAAATGTGCCCCAACTTTATTTTTAAAGAATCTATGAATCGTGGAAACTCGATGATTGAATAGACCAAGATAATAACTGGGCAAATAAAGAAGCTTTACTAGTAAATAATAACACAAGTCATCTCCATGTTGAGATTGAGACCATGAAACCGAATTACCTGTCGCAAAAAAGAGACCACATCTCAAGATGGTGGACTTCTTTTTTGACATGATCACACAGCTCCTCTTAGTGCTTTTCTAATGAAATACTGTAGAGACTTTGTGAAGTAGATGTATAATTTCATCATTCATATCTAGAAATATTCTGAATACATTTAATTATAAAGAGTGTGTTTTTATAAAATAGAAAATATTTTATATTAGAGCTTCAAGAAGAAGCTATAAAAGAACATAGAGCAAGTGTTAGATTTATTAGATTAAGGGTGTATTTGAGTCATATTTTTGGGTAAAATAAATTTTATAATAGCAATTTTTTGAATAATATGTAATTAAAAAGTAGAGAGGTTTGAATATATGTATAAAATTATTTTATTAGAAAAATGTATAGTTGAAAATAAATGCAAATAAAAATGAGTTTTTAAACAATGGGGTTCATACAGGGATTAAGAGTCGGTTTGGCATGATTTCTGGAAAGTCAAAAAGAACTTTTGATACCCGAAAGCTATTTTTGAACTTGTTGGACTAATTTTATGAAAATGATTTTTTTAGTTAGAAGAGTTTTTATCGGAAGTTGGTTCAATGAATCTCTTTCTAAAATTAAGAAATTAATTTTCAGATAAAATTTAAGATAACTTTCTCACGAAACTCTTCTACGAAAAACAGAAAAGGTAATTATGAGGGCATTTGACAGATATTTATATGTAAAAATGCATTTTTGAATAGTAAATTGATGGAAAATGTGTGGTTGAAAAATAAGTAAGTTTTTTATTTACGTGTAATATTATTTTAATAAAGAATGTGTGATTGAAAATAAGAAAGAGAAAAATATATTTTGAAAAAAATGGATATCAAACGGGGCCTATATTACCACTACAAAATTTAATTACTACACCATATTATATTCACACCACAATTAAAATATAATTTTAATAAATACACCACAATAAATTTACAATTATACTCCTAACACAATAAAAATAAAAAAATGAAAAAAAAATGTGGTATACTTATCCTTCTACTATTAATCATCTTTCTTCTTTAACCCTTTCTACCCTATTTGGTTCGAGCTTAGAACATTTGATTCAGCATTAGATCGAGATCTTTCATTTCGAAAATGTCAATTCTCATTGTAATCAGAGATGCTCACTAAACGGAAAAAATCAGATCATCACTCTAAAGAATCCGAAAGGTCTGAGATTGTGATAAAATCATCAATCCCAGTGTCTGGAAGCTTTTGTTATAATGTGGAGAGATAAACAAGGGTTTGAATTGTTCAGGAAAGGAAGCAACATGTTGTGGGTTTCTGTTGCATTTATATAGACAATAACTAGGAAGTAATAAATTACCAGTACACACACTCTTTATCTCATCATAAAAAAAAATGCACAAAATGGTAAATTTCTTTGCTGGCAAATGCGATGAAATAAACGTAAATCCCCCTGGATTAGATAAAGACCTTTGTCTCTGCAAGACTTTATTCTCAATGCAATTTGTTATTAATAATTTTTTTTTTATCAATTGCTTGGAGTGTAAGAAATCAAAAACTGATCAAAACTTTGGAGATTAAACAAACTGATAGATGTGTATGAATGAGGCAGAAGATAATACAAATGTAGAATAAAGGATTATGTTTATGTTTGTGGTGGAATAATAATTTATTTTATTAAAAAGTATATTAAAATTCTAATTATGTAATTTTATTTAACGTTATTTAAGTAAATAAAAAAAATGGTGCACTTAATAAATTTTGTTGTGGTAATAAAATTATCCAAACAAAAATCATCCCAAATGGAACCTAACATAATCATTCCCTCGATACGTATAAACTTTCCATTATATAAGTGGAAGGACAATTTTATTGTTGAGGACTATATATGGACTTAATTAATTTTGTTGAATATAAACTGTCCATTATATGATGGATTTTTAATTTTATTGAAGGAGAGCCACGAGACTCATGGATTCATCTTGTCCAGTATTTTATATTGATTAGAATATTGAAGCGTTTGTTGATCAATTAGATATATCTTCTTTTAAGGACAAATTACATAGTGAACTAAGGAATATACAATAAAGCGCTCCAATCCCACGTTAGAAGAATTATAATAAAGGGTATTTTGAAAAATGTCAAATTTCATGGTTGTCAATTAAAAAATGTTCACTTTTTAAATTTAGTACTAAACTGTCTATGCCCTCAATGAAAAAATGAAGCAATTAATTTTTTTTATCCCAATTTGTCAAGGATTTCGAAAAGTAATTTCCATGAGAAGTTACATTAAAATGATGTTCTCGACATTTCAAATATCGTTCTCGATATTTAAGCTCCATTTATATTTCAAAAGTACAGATGTCGAATCACAACATTAAATGTTCTCAACATTTCAAATGTTGTTCTCAACATATTAGATGTCTAGAATGACATTTCGTTCCGAACATAATATTTCTTTCCACTTGCAATGTAATTCTCGACATTTCTGTCATTGAGAAAAATAGCATTTATTGTGATTTTACATGTGCACTTTTGAAATAAATAGGGCAGGTTATATGTCAAAATTTTATTGGCCAATAAAATTAAATTTTTAATTACAAAAATGTCATTTTTGTCTTTATTTGGAATCATAAATTGCTAACAAGGGTATTTTGGTCTAAATTATTCCGAAATGGACATTGTTGCAAGGATTTGCAATCGTGGACGTTTTTGCAAGTGGATATGTGAAAGTCGACATTTCTAGTAATTTCCTCTTATTTTATTATAACAATTATAAATACAAAATTGCACTGAACATCCCCATTCAATGAGTAATGTAGCATTTGGATTCCCAGCCCTTTTTGAGAGTTAGATCTCGAACTTGTGTATGGATCATCATCCATTATTGTTATTCATAATGAACAATCTCTAGTGCTAGGTTATTGCTAGAAGAGAAACTCAAATAGTTGATGCACGATCAAGGATAATTGTGAATGAAATAAGTGATTACAATACTGAAACCAAATTTATATTCACATAAACAAATAAGTTTATAAATTCTCCAAGATTCTGTTTTATCCAATTACAGCATATTTCCATTCAGACAACCTGGGTAGCACCACTAGATGCCTACCATGTTGTGTTTGATCATCGGACGAGAAACCGTGCTTTGTCGGATCGTACTTTTCTCCATCGCCCCACAATGCATACGCTTCTTCACCGTGCACCGCATCATCCCCAATCTCCAATTCATTTTCTGGCATGCGCAATGGTATTATAAATCTTATCACTACACAAATGATCGAAGTCACAACAATGTTCCATCCTATGATGAATCCTCCACCAACAATCTGTTTGAGGAATTGCACGCCGCCAACGCCACCGTAAACACCGCCACGAGAGTTGGTGACGGGCAAGAAGAGGGCACAAAGCTGTGGCTCAGCAAAAAGGCCCGTAAGAATGCCTCCGAGGTAACCGGCAACAGCATGGGTGTGGAAAACACCAAGGGTGTCGTCGATTTTTTGGAGAAGTGTCCATCTCTTGTGGACAATCATCATTGTGAACCATGGGACACTTCCTGAGAGAACGCCCATGACTATTGCAGCCCATCCTTGAACAAGACCTATGAAATGATTCAATTGATTGAATTTCAAATCTTTTGATAGAAATGTATGCATAGAACATATTCTTAGCAATGGTTTCACATATAAAATTGAACTCAAATGTGGTAGACCAACATTGATCACATCTTCTCGTCAATTTATATGTTTGTTCTAAATGTTGACATAAACATTTAAACATCATGTAAACAAAAAGTTCTTGATTTTATAAGGGAATCGAACTACTAATATCAATTTTTCATTGTTATTCAATGTTATAAAAATCAGACAAGACCAGTCAATTTGACTAGAGCTTAGTAATTGATATACATAAAATCAAAATAAAATTCATTCAACCCGTCAATGGACACAAGTGATCATGTTTTACGATCATTCTGTAATGCTACGTTGATACGAAAATTAACTTATATTTTTTGAATAACTTTAACCTCAGATTGGCCCTCAAATCAATGCCCGGAGTCGAATTTAGAAACATTGATCCCATAACCAAAATAAAATGAATAGAATGTATTGAGAGGAAAAATAAAGATACCTGCACCAGGAGTGATGCAAACAAGGCCAGTGATCATGCCCTGCACAGCTCCAATAACTGAAGGCTTTTCGAAGAATATGACATCGAGCCATGTCCATACGAGTAGGCTAGTGGCTGCACATATATTAGTATTCAGCACGGCCATGGATGAGTCAATGTTGGCGGCGTATGGATCACCGCCGTTGAACCCGGCCCATCCCATCCACAGCAACCCTGCACCGGCCAGCATTAGCAGTACGTTGTTTGGAGGAAAACTCTCCCTATCAATTTTCGATCTTGGACCAACCTGCATAGAAGTTGGATTATTTTAAGTCGAAAAAGTGACATATTAACATTATACAAATGAACAATTCGTTTAATATATTATTGAAGTTTAGAAGAGATTTTAGTGAACTGAATATAACATAAATTCAGATGAGATCATTGTATAATGTAGAACTAATTTATTCGTTTGTGACTTGTTGGCTAATATATATAGATGGAATAGAACTCGACGAAATTTAGTAGGTGTTTTGTAGGAATTAAAATTAGATTTTTTTTTGTAGATTGTGATAGAAGTTTTTTTAAATGTATAATTGAAAAGTTGTGAAACCATGAAAGATGTAATTAATATTGATTGTTTGACATTGACTTAAATTAAAATTAAATTTTAATTCAAACCAATTAAGCTCTTAAAAATATATGTGTCTTGTTCAATAATTTGGATAACATAGGGAAACGATTCAAGTAATTAAAGCAATAGTCTAGTCTAGTCAACCGTTACTATAAAAAACCAAAGGATTGCCATATGTACAATAATGTTTCCTTTGCTTGCTACCTAAATTAACACAGAACATGTTGACTTAAAATAAAATCAAATTCTAACTTGACAAATAACAAGGTTTAGTCTGTTGTTATTGGGATCTTGGTCAATGATCTCTAGAATTTTTACTAAGGGTATGTTTGATATAAATTTTGTGAAAAGTAATTCATTTTTTTTTTTTAAGAATGTACAATTGAAAATGAGTTTGAGAAAAAAATGAATTTAAATAATTTACATAAAATCGAGTTAAGCATAGATTTTGATCAAAATCAAAGTTAATCATCAATTTTAACCTCATATTTTATGGGTTAAACAAGTTTTTAAACACATATTTTACCAATTTTTGTCAAAATCTACTAAATTTCTATTTTAGTCCCTACCAAACGAGGACTGATAACGATGGGTACAAAATGTCTACAACCAAGTGTGAACGGATTAAAAGAAAAAATGCACAAACACGTGATTCTTCATACTTTCGTTGAAAACTTTATTTCTTGACTAAAAAATAGTTAAAACTGACGCTAATATGACATTAAATGATAAGCACTATTAAATGATTTACTTAACTCAAAATTTTCATTAAATTTATTATATAACACTACCTAAATTGGTCTCACTACTAATGCTAAATAACATTATTTCCTAAAAGGGAATGTGACAGATAGACCTCAACCAAAGTCCTATGAAAAATCTAGGAATCTAGCAGAATATTCAAACTTACACTTTACATTACTCGATCAATAACTGATCTACACAGTATCGAATTAAAAAAGTAAATATTAAATGGTCTAATATTATCTTAACACATTCTGTAAACAGTTTATGAAGAGCAAAAGCAAATAATGACTGACCCAGTATGCGGCTGTGATGCCAGCAATTCCCGATGAAAGATGAATAACATAGCCACCGGAATAATCCATGACGCCCCAGTGGTACAAGAACCCGCCGCCCCAAAGGCTGAACGCCCCCACCGTGTAAGAAAAAGTTAACCACAGCGGGACAAATATCATCCATGCCTTAATATTCATCCTCCCCAGCAAAGACCCGGCAAGCAAAATAAGCGTTATAGCAGCAAAAACGCATTGAAACCAAACCATTGACGCCATGGGGTAGTACGGCATGGCCATGGGGGTTTCCACCGTGCCGTTATGGAAGTGATGTTTGGTAGCAAGCAGCGCCGCCTGTTTGATCAAGAATTTCTGGTCTAAAGCCGGGCCGGCCTTGCCCCAGCAAGGGAGGAGCTTTTCGCCGAATGACATCTTGTATGCCCAAATGACCCAGCAAAATACGACGGCGGCGAAGGCGTAGAGAGCCATGAAGGCGGAGTTGACGGCCCATTTCTTCTTGACTATGCTGCCGTACAGGATTACGAGGCCGGGGACGCTCTGGAGACCGACGAGGGTAGCGGAGGTCATCTGCCATGCGTTGTCGCCTTTGTTTAGCCATTCTGGCACCGCAGCCGAGGTGTAGGCCCGGTAGGCTATCGGCACCTCCGCGGAATTTGCCATGGTCGTGGCACTTTGTTTCTGGTCTATACTAGCTAATCGAATATGAAGAGACTACTCTGTTTCGAGTCATGCAAAGACTTTGATTTTTATAGAAGGATTGTGTGATGATTATTTTTTGGAAAATAATGGGTTAAAAATAGGTTTAATTTTATTGGAAGTGACCTAATTTTAAAATATTTCCATTGAATCACTAAACTATGTAATTATTAATTGATATGTTACATTTTGTTGCAATAACTAATAAGATACGCTTGCGTGAATAAACAAATGTAGTCGCGGTACAAACAATTTTAAAATATCGGATTGATTTTCATTCAAGTTGGAGATTGAGTTTTTCCCAATCCCTTGTTACATTGAAATCCATTTTGCCCAACGCCCTAAACTTCGTCCATGTCAACATTCCTTCCACTTTAGCAAGTTGAAGATTTAACGACGAGTTACATTGAGATCTAGAATTAAATAACTTTGTAAATTGAAATCCTGTGTGTCCAATTCTAGCGACCTAGTTGATCGTTAAATCCAAGCATACAAGTTTCATTAGTTTTAAACTTTTAGTAACGATTAGTTACATGTGACCTTAATGAAAATATTTATGAAGTTTGGTGATATGATTGAACCATATAAAACTAACCTATTAGAATAAGTAAAATAGTAACTAAATTAAATGAAAGTGAAAAAACTGGGTTTTCTTTTTATGGTGAAATAATTATTTTTATGTTAACCCTTGTTTGATTCTCATTCTTTTAAAAATTTATTTTTCCAAAATTTTATTTTCAATCATATATTTTTTTAATAAAATAATATTACACGTAAATTCAAAATTTTTCTTTAATTTGTAACCATACATTCTTCATCAATTTACTATTTAAAATACAGTATTTCTCTTAAAATTGGGATCTTGTTAATTTGAATTAATCCTGACGTTTTGATTCTGCTGTGAGTTCGAAAATTATATTAAGATATTTTTGACTTTTCAAAAATATAACCAATTGGACAACTGTAATTGGACGATATAGATTGGTGAAATCTTGGGAAGCAATCCCAACCGTCGGGGGGGGGGGGGGGGGGGGGCTTGTGATGGATGAGGTATGAAAATGTTTTGATATATCTTTATTTTCGCAATTAGCTCTCTATTTTATTTATCTATCTATTTTTTTTTTTTGAGGATGAGTCAATCAAATTAGAAGTGAAATGTTATTGTTCTTTTATCAGTATTTGTTATTGGGAGGCTGGAAGCATTCCTTACTAGTTTCCATTTCTTCAGCACCACCAACCCCTCCCCTCCCCTTCCCCTCGGTTTAACTCTTATCCTCAGAGGGGGGGGCGGGGGGGGGGGGGGGGGGGGGTGGGCGGGGGGGGGGGGGGGGGGGGGGGGGGGGATTCTTCGAGGAATCAGATACAAGTTGACCAAAAAGAAAAAATAAATAAAATTAAATAATACCAAAACATTTATTTCCAGCGAAGTTATGCTGATCGTGGCTAGTAATATAACCATTGAATTCAGCTCTGAAGTCATGACTCGAAATTAGTGAAAGGGAGCGTTTCTTAAAATTTTGACAAATATATTTGACAAAAAATTTCAATCCTTAATTTAAGTGAATCTAATAGACCACTTTATGTCACTAAAACAATACTAAATTTTCAAATGGGTCCATCCCATATGTAAAGGAAAGAAATGTATGTACAGAGGGGGGACTACCAAATCGTGTCCCCCCTCTCACATAACACGCGGGCCCCGTGTGTATTAAATAATGTCGAGCCGTGGCCTCCACCTCTGATTTTGAGTAATAGGTAAAATATTAGGTAAAAAAAAATTCGGTACGTGTAGCACGGTCCTTATGTAAATACTCTCCCAGCCTCCTTAACTCTCTCTCTCTCTCTCTCTCTGTACATAATTACATATATATTGAACTTGTAATAAATTATTTATATTTACATATTAATGATGGTGGTTTTTGTTGGCAAGATAAAAGTTAAAACCCTTGTTTTTAATCCTTACTGTTATGCTCCAATCTTATACGCCTCGGAACGCGCAACACCACATATTCCGACCTGATAAAGATCCGTTCGAAGTGTTTCCAAATTGATATAGCGATTCCTACTATTGACCTGCCGAAATACAAGCGATTCCTATTACTGACTTGCCGAAGCACCTCGTCCCCGAGGTCGAGACCAAGTGGACCCCGGTTAGAAGATCCGCCGCCAATTTTAGAAAGAGATTTGTTCCAAGATCATTCCTGCACTTAAGATTTAAATTGATTTGACGTCTCCATGAGACTAGTTGATGTGACTTATCAACTTTATGTCAATTCAACTCAGGAGAAACAAAATGTCCGCCCACTCTACAGACGCGGCTGATTGACGATTATGAGCGGACGCCTCATACCACCAGATGTATACATGCGTCCCACATCCAACGGTTCATACCACCTATAAAAATCCAAGGTTTGGCAAGAGGCAAAGGTAATGAAACTCTTACTACATAGCACTCCATAACAAACTTATATATTTTCTCCTCCCCCTTTATCATTGATTCGTGTAGCTTCTGGGTACTATTCCGACCACTTAAACCTGACTTGTCCGTCGGAGTGTATACGGCCGTCACCACCCCCTCTGGTTCCGTCCGTGTGCGTCTGACCATTCACTGATTGTGCGTAGGGAGAAACACGTGGAGTAGCTTTCAGTTGGCCACGTGGAAGGATCAATTTTCGAGGTCAACACTTACAATAACAGGAAAACTTGATAGTAACCTAAAAAGAATATATATTACAATACATCAAATGCTTGCAGATTATAAAAAAGGGAAGAAAAACAACGAAGTGGTTACAGCAATCCAATTAACACCAGAAGAATAAAAATGTTATTCTCGTCAAGCAATCCTCATTTTTTTTTATAGGATTATTCCACAATTGACATCACTCGTATTGTCGATATGTCACAATTCACAACAATGGCAGGATTTTCCTTATTCTGTTGTTCTTCTACTGTTAAAAGCTTAGGGAAAGGAAAATAATATATAAAAAAACATGTACGAGTATTAGTATATGACTTTAAATTTGTAATGAGCTTTGCAGTATAATCTGAACCATTTTGATAAATTAAACCCAAAAAAAAAAAAGAAAGAAAAAAAAAGAAAACACTCATGGTCCAAAACCCCCGTCCCCCCCCCCCCCCCCCCCCCCTCTTTTGATCATAAAAGAATGTTTGGTTCAACAAAAAACACCATTAATATGTAAATATAAATCGAGTATTATATATATACACGTATATGGAGAGAGAGAGATTGTGGCAACAGGTACGCAAGATTTAAGGAGGGTGGTCCGTTAGATCCACTTATATTAAGGATTGAGATTTTTTGTCAAAAATATTTATCAAAAATCTTAGTACAAGAAACGCTTTAACTAACAAATTTTATTAAACACAAATAGAATAATATTAAAGATATATATCAAAACTCCATATAAAATTCATTTTCAAATTACAGTGGGATCGAGGGTTCCTATTCCCAACCTTTCTCCGCCACTCATCGAAGTGGAAACAGTCATCCATCATAAAGAAATAGATATCTATATATACTGACAAAAGAGTCTATATTGAAATTAGGTTAATTTATAACAATAGAGAAACTATGAAACTTGTTCACATTGTGCCAATTAGGTGGTGAAATATGTGTCTGTCTACGCTTGGAACGTATGTAACATATTATTTGACATTAGTTTTCAAAATCTTAAAATGTTAGAATACTTTTAATAATTTAAATTGCGACTGTTAGTATTAGAATATTCGGAAATAGAACACTACCTTGAAGTTTATGTTTTGTCTCGATCCTGTTTTGTCTCGATCCAAAATATTCTAAAATCTCAACTTCAATGAAAGAAGAGTGTTCAAGGACTTTATTATTATTATTATTATTATTATTGAAATCGACAAAATTTTATTAATTCATCAGGAAAAATAGAAGGACCAGTTTCGATTGTCATATATATGAAACATATACGCCAAGCCAAAAATACAAGTCCAATCTAGCAAGAATATAGAGGCAAATTTCTTTCCATCCCCAAATGGAGCCATCAACAACGACCGATGGAGCAAACTTTAAAATCATTTAATACTTCTAAGACAGCAGGAAATTTTATAAAAATAAATACTGAAATAATAGGTTCGGTGAAAAAAAAAAAAAAATTCTGCTTAAAACATGTTTTGTACTGTGCCGAAAAGTCGTTATGCTACAAGTGTCATTACGAAGAGTATGACTACATTAGATGAATTTAGTTTTTAAACTTTTATGTTATTCTTTGCAGTTTTTCCCCTTTACAGGTGTGTTATGTGGTTTAATTGCAAAAAAAAAAAAAAAAGGAGTTCGTTAGGAGGTGTGTACACAATTTGTTTGTACAATAATTTCTTTTTACAACACAAAAAATAATCAAATAGGATTGTAAAGTTGTGGCACAATGATGATGACTGGATAATTGTTTTGACCTGGTTGACTATTTAAAAGGTAGTTGATTAAGTTGTGAAAAAAAAGGTTTTGATAAATATGTTTTTCTCTTATAAAATGAAGGCTCGAGATCTTGCCAGTGTCAACCCCACCAACCATTGGATTGGCTGACCTTCTTGAGACTTCCATATATGCCTCATTCCTATAGTTGAACGATTGCAATTCATATGATTTTCTTTCTCTAACTACTGAGTTCTTCGTCTCTCTCTCTTTTTAAAATCTAACATTCTTTCTTTGATACTCTCTTAATAAAATGCAATTCTTGAGTGATCTATATATTCTGAAAGTGTTGTGATGTTTTTAAGTAGATGTTTGTAATGGTTGAAAGGTTGATTTTTCTGTGATCGTGAGTGATTATCGTCCGAGTGTCTAGATATGTATTTTGGACACTTTGGTTTTGTTTCTCATACAATGGTTCTTTCCAGTGACGGAAGCTCGATGGGTTTATGGTTTTATTGCCTTAGGGCAAAACTCTATTGAAGTTCATTTTATGGTTCATGCTCTTCTTTCAATTTTATGTTTACTTTTGTTGGTTAAATTGCCGAATCGTTTTAATCTAATCATAATAGTGGTATCAGAAT